TGCATCATGAGGAGAAATTAGTTTTCATTTGTAATGGAAAAAGTTTTAGTATCAAACTGAAAAAGAGATCGGAGCGAATGCAATGATGCAGTGTTTTATTGTGTCTAGCATTATAAAAAAAATCATCTGTTTCTAACAACAATCGATGGTACGATGCACAGCCACGGCGGTTGGACTGAGCCCTACCATGCTCTACCCTAGGTACGCCACTAGGCACACCCTCAAATAAGACTCTGACTCAAGTTTCACTGACTTTCGCTGCTTGCATGTGTGTTTATTTGCGGAATAGTCCATACAAATTCTATAGGAACATGAGCATGTGCCGAAACAGAACTTTTTGCAATAGTTACATTTCTACTTGGTCTTGCTATGCTATACATGAGAGCGTGCCGGAAATGCTAAAATTTCTGAAAACATGAGGATCTGCAATTGTTTTTGTTCATCGGATACACCTGTGAAATACACTGCATGCGCTAGCTACAGAATGTAAGCAGCCGAATAAAAATATCTCATATTTTGGAAAAACTCTCCAATTCGGATTAGAATATTTCATTACTTGTATTAAAGTATAGATGGAGTGGGTATGAGTCAAAATCCGAAAACGAGTGCACATGACAGGCTCTAATTCCACGCAGGAATATTTTTGAATATGAATGAAAAGGTCAAATAGCTCAACAAATGATAGACCGCCAGAATATGCAAGTATTAGAGCAAATAATCTTGATTTATTAAAATAATTATAGATTTCACAAAACGAATTTCGGAAGTAGGATAAATCAGAGTTCAAATCTCAGAAAAGAACGTTAGCACATATTGACGATGTTGCCTGAACAATAGTTGCCATTTACGTAGCCGTACCCACCAGCGTGTAAATTGATACGAAAGTATTTAGAATTTGGCCCAGGATCTTTCCCAATAGCAAAACAATCACATGGATAACTCTCGTCGTTTCTGACATTGCCAATTGCAGCACAGGTTTTCGAAGGACACTTGAGAAGAATGGCAGATTGATAGCAAGAAACTCTACCAGCCTAACAATATTGCAAGGAAGGAATTTTTGAAAGACCAAAATATTTAATAATGATACAAATTTACCTGGCATGTAGCCGAAATAATCAGCAGTAAGAGGAGACTTGGAACAAATATCGAATTCATTGTAGTTTTGCTTTGTCTCGATTGCGACGATACGAATTAGCTTGTTTGCAATTGATGAGGACTTCGAGTAACTATCGGCAGTCTTTTATACATGGATGAAGACATATAACATCGATGAAGACGTGTACATCGATGTAAAGCTGACACGACGACCAATCCGAAACGTATCCATAATAAACCAATCAGAAATCGAGCATTATTTACGATTAAAAATCCATGAAATATCATACAAACCATCTTAGCAACCAGTGTTTCCAATGGCAAGTGTACACAGCAGAAGCAAAATGTACAGAACATCTGCTCGTTTTGATTTACACTCTACTATGCACTTGCCCAGAAAAACAAAGTGTATAATGTACTAGGGGTGTACAGCTCGCGCTCACGCTCACGCTCACGAGCGCTCTCGGTTTAATCGCTCCCGCTCATGAGCGCTCATGAGCGCGAGCATTTCTGCTTTAAATCAGATCTGTTCAAAATATCATCAGCTAGGAATGTACTATTGCTTGCATGTATACAAAAGCGCATATAAAGTTGTTGATATCTCGTATACCTGCTATAGTATTTATAGTTGACGCGGATAGGCATTTTGTGATCTATTCATCACTAAAGATCATAAGAATTGATCCTTTTTGACTTTTCAATTTGTATTCGTTGCCCCTTAATATTTTTTAAGCTCATTTATCTTGTTGATGTAATCAATCTAAGAGTGAAGCTAGAATCTTATTATACATAGTTCATTGATACAGATTTGTATTTACTTGGCTCGAGACTAAGAATTTCGTTACTAGATACCCTAGCGCAAACAATCAGATATTAAGATCTGACAAGATTCTACATCTGATCTTGTATGATCTTGTAATAACCGATAAAAAAAATCGTATGAAAATCGTAGTCTCTGAACTCTTACATCAATTCGTTCTATCAGATTCTTAAAAGATCTTATTTTATCGTAAGATATGACTATAAGATTATAGGAAATCTTATGCAATAGTAAGATCTTGCAAGTGTCTTATTGTAAGACTTAATGTAAGCTTTCAGAGACGACGAGTTTTCGCACAATCTTGTCTGGTTTCGCAAGGTCTTACATCTGATTTTTCGACCTGGGATATAATAAAAATAGATCCACCTTACTCTATGTAATTATACAATTGAGCGAATTGGTACTGCATGATTACACAGATTATGAAAATTTCTGACGACTATTGACATAATTTTATCTTGACGTAGTCATTTATCCTATTGAAGTGAAACACTTTCAATCTGGCATGATTCAGTAGTGAAAAAAGAGTATAGTTTAATAAGAGTATAGTTTAATAAGAGAACTGTGAAATATTATATACCTTCTTGTCCTCTATCATTATGAGCGACACAATCAAACAAGTACCCCCCTCCCGATTACATATATAAGCAAATAGGTTATGCCCTAACTATAAATTTTAAAGAATAAAATATATTTTTGAATTGAGCTATTTTGCATTGGCTAGGAAATCTAAGGGGTATATGTGTGTTCCACATTTTAGCCCCAAAGGGGCTACGCTAACAAGCTTTTTCGTTTTTGCTCTGGTTTTCTATTCCACGAAAATTTAACTTTCTTCTATAATCGAAGAAGATGCAACATATTAATCATATATATTCGATATGTGACTATAAAATCGGT